AGGTGTCAACGATAGCCATGTGATGTGAGTATCAGTCACATGGAAGCAGTGCTTAAAAGCCTGAATTTTACCTGAAACTCTCAGACTGAAGAAGTCTCTTCGAGGAGAGGCGAAACGTTTCATTAGAGAAGAACCCGTCCAGAAGACCTATACAATTTTTTTCTTTTTGATTTTTTGCCTGGATTACTGAGATGCATCAGGACAATAGGTCTTGATCTACAGTGAACCAGTCTGAGACATGAAACTCCAGGGTTGAAAATGAGTCCCACTCCAGTCCTGGTAGATACGGATCTGTTAATGCACAGTGGGCAGTTTGTATGAACCCCTCTGGTTAGGGTCCAGTCCACTAGATGAGGAAAACACATCGGTTCCTCTTAATAAAGGGTGTGTGCTTCTGTGTGTGTTTTAGCATGACAAATACAAAACATTGTGTGTGCACCTCATGAATGTGTGTCTCACGGTCAATGCGTGAGACTTGATTCCCCAAACTGAAATTCTATTGGATGTGATTTCTGTTGACATTAATCACTTGTCTATCACATTATTTATTGTTATTGTTTTATTGTCCAGCCCTATAGTCTGAAGTCTTTGTGCCTCTTCATCTCTCCTTGGAGCCAGTTCCTCCTGTGAACCTTTAATCTAGAATATTCATCTGCAACCCCTTCAATAGCCAAACAAACCTCAACTATTCTGCCTTTCTGTCTGACCTGCCACTGTCAAACTGCCTATTCATCTACTAATGATTACCACTGTCATCCTTTTATTCCTGGAATACTCTGCGTGGTGTGGGATTTATGCTCCCACACATCTGATTGGATCTGGCAGTTAACAAGCGGCAGCTGTTGAGGACTTCCTTGATGATCCACTGGGCTTTAAAAGGCTGTCTGTGAAGTTACTCCTTCACTGGAACGTAGCATGTTTGGTATGATTCTGAGCCTACTCTAGCCTTCTCTTTGAGAGCTAATCTAACCTTTAGTATTTCTCCTTGTGAACCTCTCTTCAGTCTGGACCCCTTGTGGAAGTTACCCCTAGTGGATTCATCTCTGAGTAAGCCTGCCTGCCTGCCTGCCTAAACCGTCTCCTCACCTCAAAGAGCCAAAACCCACCACCTGTAAACACTCACCCTGGAAGTTTGTGCACTTCTGGATTATCTCCCTCTCCTCCATGCTTCGGGACCTCCTCGCATCTGTAAGCCAAACAAAACAAACAAACATTTCAACCATCTTGTTATTTTTCAACCATCTTGTTATTCAAGCTAAAGCTAACGGAACCTCCTCCTCTCGACCACAGTAAACTCTTGGATCCAAAACCCCCTCCCTTGTAAATAAACATTCACTATTTTTTGTGTGCAAGTCTCCTGTGTCTTATTACTTCCTGGTTTTGCTATCTCTTGACAAATTCCTCATCTTGATACGTGGTACATTGATTCATACTCACCCTCTGTCTCCCACAGACCGCTTTGTTCCTCTGATCCTATCACCTGTAAATACCCTACTTTTTTTTTTTTTTACCAAAATAAGTATGCCAGGTACAGACTCCAGGTATATTGAAACAGCTGTTCTCCGTATGAAATACAAAGAAAGCATATCTAATCTAGTGTCTTTTTTTAAAGGTGCAGTGGTTAAAGCTTACAGAAAGAATCTTGCAGGATTGCATCCCTCCTTGGGCCTTTCTGTGTGAAATTAGCATGTTCTCCTTATGCATGTGTTTTCTCCAGGTACAGACCAAAAGTTAGGTTAACTAGCAACTTCGTGTTTTAGTGGCCATGCAATGGACTTGCCACTTGTTCATGTCTAATAACTACTGGAAATAAATAGTAAATGGACTATACTTGTATAGCACCTTTCTTTCTTAACCAGGATACTCAAAACGCTTTACATTACAATATGTCCGCTCATTTACCCATCCTCACACACATTCATTCAGTACTTTACTATGTCTCTATACAAAGCTACAGACAGATCATTCTATGGAGACTAACAGTGCTTTAAATCACATTCATGCACTGATGGGACACACATCAGAGGCAGTGGGTGTTCAGAGTCTTGCCCAGGGACATGTGATGTGATTGAATAGTGGGGAATTGAACCACCAACTCACTGATGAGAAGACAAAAAGAAGGACTGATAAAACCACCCACTACCGCCCATAGTTCCCAGCACCAGAAATTAGAAGGCTGGAAAAAGATGGATACCAATGTACAAATTTTATCCAATAATCTTTCTACTGATGTTTATTTCAGAACCACAAGATACTGAACACTGTGGCTTTAAGCGGCCCATGCAGTCCAAATGGATAAATGTCGTGTGTGATAGAAACCACATAATCATGTGTTTTCATGAGAAGCTGATTCTGGTGAAGGAGAATAAAACATGGGAAGAGGCATTAGAACATTGCAGGTCTCTGGGGGGAGTGGACTCAGAGAATCCGGACATTGTGTTCTGGAAGGACGGTTATGACTTGGCCACTCTAAACACTGAAGATGATCACAATTACGCACGAGAGCAAGCCCAGCAGGCCACCACTGATGAGGTGGGTCAGGTTTCCACACTGTGTTGGTGTTTGACCAGCTCTACCTCTGTGTTCATGTGGATTTCTCTGCTGTCTACAGGTGTGGACGGGCCTGAGATACCTGGGTGATGAGTGGCTCTGGATGGGTGGAGAACCAGTGCAGTACCAGGACATCCCAAGCTGCCCAGCCGTCCGATGTGGTGTCCTGGAGAAGAGCGGCACCAGATTTTATGAGACAAGAAACTGCGGCCAGAGACGGAACTTCTTCTGTTATAAAAAGCCTTATATCTATTGAAAACTACTGGGGTCATATTTCAGTGTGTTTTCCCTGCTGTTTAGGAAAGCTTTTAGAATCTCTGCAACTGTTCATGCCAGCATGTTGCTTTTAGAATGGATGTAAGAATGGAAAACCGCATTTCAAAGTAAAACGCAATCATGATGTTGCCATGTAATACTAAATGTTCATATTTCAAGTTATGAACATCTAGTTTAAGTTGTTTGTACGAAATTGTCATGATCAATGTCATACTCTAGCACGATCATAAACCTGAAGCATTTGACAAGATCCTACAAAGACCATTCATGTTTTGATTTTTTTTATGTTGTGATGTCACCCACTGTGGAAGAAACATTATAAAAACTGTTGTAATTTCTTTGTCTTTTATCAGCCTGTAAACCCTGGATATGCTGGTAACCATCCAAATAAATAACTAAATATTGGTAATGCATTATTATCTCAATTCTTTCTGACGTTAGGTGAACTGTCTAGCTTTTGATAAATTATTTGAACTTTTTACTTTGAGTTAAAGTTAAGAAGTTGGATAGAGATAAATATGAGAAGGCTTATTAATTCTGTTGTCAGTATCTTTATGTCTCAGATTGTTTGATTGATAAAAGAGAGGGTTGAGAGAGCCAGAATACATCCACTGAAGATCTGTGGTTAGTTGTTCAAGATGTTTAGAAGTATCTACATGTCAATTTTTTTGGTTCAAAAATAATGTTCAAGTTCAGTACGGTAATGTAAAGACTATCAATCATTGAAATGGAAATAATTATTTCTGTAGAAAAATAAATATATTTTGTTTCATTGTCTCAGAATTTTTTCTGTCTTTGTCTTTGGATGTCAGGACATCTGGTAACCATTCATAGTGATCACCAGGTGGAGCTAAAATGCTTTATCAAACCATCAGCGTAACACCTGATGATCCATTATACTGACATTTATAAACTTTTCTACTGTCAAGAGGACCAGCTTTCCAGGGTGACAGCAACATTGGAATCAAACCTAGGGAGTTTTCACCCCTGCAAAAAAGAGACCGGGAGAGGAAAAGAAGACATCCGAAGAAGGATGAGGCCCCGGAAGTGAAGAGATTGAGGAGGCAGGAGGAGAATGAAATGAATTAAAGTAATCAATTTTAATGCTTATAAGAAATGTATGTAACCTGAATAATGATTATGCTTAACTGTGATTCTTTTTATTGATGTATTGTGATTATTGTGTTTTAAATGGAAGATGGTGATTAGAGCAGATAGAAATTTAAAGAGAGTTTAAAGTGAACTATGTGAAGGCAGTTGTATGTGTGTGTGTGGCAATTCTTGTGAAAGGCAAGGCGTTTCCCTAAAAAACGAACAAACAGTGTGGACATTGTGTAAGGCAGAGCGCTCACTTCCCCTTTCTAACAGTCAGAGTGCCTTACTTCCCCAATTTAACAAATACAAGTGTGAACTTTGTGCACAGCAGAACGGCTCTCTGAGATGTTGAAACAAGGTGTGGAAAGTGTGGCAAGTACCGGGAGAAACACATGACAAATGATCGCATGCAGAGGAAGGATAAAAGGTCGAGCTGCTCTACAGCAAGTGTCTTCGTGTCATCGGCTGGAGGAAGAACAGCAAGAAGCAGCAGGACTCCAGAGCAGCAGAGCAAACGGATCCGATCAGTTCTCATCTGGGCAGAAGCTGACCAACTCTCCTCCATCGAATCTAAGGACCGAAGACCAAAACTGGACCAAGCCCATCTCTGAGAGAGATCTTTCCAGGCAACAATCCGGACCTCATGGGGGTAAATAACTGACTGCTCTAATCCTGTCCTGCCTTCTCTGAAATTAACAGCAAATGCCACACTTCTTAATCAGGAAGATAGTTCAGCATGTTAGAGTGTTTTATTTTCATCACCATCAATTACTAATCAATCAATTACTAATCAATATATTTAATCTATATAATCAAATGTGGCAATTCTTGCAAATTCTATTAAACTGCTTACAAGCATCATAAAGACAAATTAACTGACTGGATATTGATACTTTAAGTTGTCCTTTAATGTTTTTCTCTGATTACATGAGAGTCCTATTACAGTAAGGCAACAAGGTAATAAAATATTATAAAGAGTGTGGTTACTTTAAAGCAAGCAGTAATAAAAAGGAGGTCACAGAACACAATAAAGTTCATTTTTAAAGGTTATTAGCCAGAGGGGAGATAGGATAACTCCTCTCTGTAAAAAACAGTTCCCTTGAGACCTATTTTACTGGTCACAAAATCACATCTCGACCACGACAAGAAGTGCACATCCTACGAGGGAGCGGCTGCCAGAGAACGACAGTGACCGACAAAAGTGAGGCGTCCTTGTGCTACTACGCCTGCACTGAAGTTGGGGTTCACGAAGGGAGCGACTGTCGGAAGAAGGGCCGCTGAAGGTCGAGCTTAAGGCTCCCGCATGATGGAGACACGTCAGACTCAGCTGTGTCAGTCACCCCCGTGTGGCTGTGTGTCTGATTCGCCGCCTCCAGATCAACAAAGAGACATCGACTCCTCTCCAAGACCCACCTGTGTCCGGGCGGGTAAACTGGGGGAGGAGCCACAAAGGAAAACAACTGGCAAGCATTATGCAAAATTCAACCAAAAAACCCAAACAATAAGTAATCAGATGTTCGTATTTCTCTAAATACTATGA